CTCCCCAATCCTGACTGGTCCCACAAACACAGGCATAGTCACACCCTCATTCTGCCTTAAGATTCCAGTCCACTTCTCTCCTTTATTTGCCTCTTGGGCTTTAGAGGCAAAGAGGAAGCATGCAGGGAAAGGGAGAAGGTCAAGAGTAGGGAAGAGAGTCAGAGCATTCTGCATCCACATCTAAGAGAAGATGCAGCATCAGATGCTGGAGTAAAGGAGCAGAAGTGACTACTCAGTACAGTTCCTAAGCTGTAGAGATAGAGCAGTCCTCCAAACAGACAAGGATCCCTGTCCTTACCTTCTACTGGAGGGAGATAGGAAATATGAAAAGTATATGAGTTGCTGTATGTGAGAGCACCCAGCACAGGGCTTGGCACATAGGAAATACTCAACCACTGTTATGTCCTTCTCTTATCCCTGTCCTTAATCACATCTTTGCAGCTTCCCTGAAGGCTTCTGAACACATAAATAAAGCTGCAACCCCATCTGGCTGAAAAAGTCAACCATCTGGAGGTTTGGAAATATGGGGGAACTTCTAATGACTGGCTAATTTTTTTTTTCAGTTTTTCAGCCAGATGTTTGATGTCATCCAGGCCCATCTGTAGCTATTTCTGCTATTGAAACTCTTTTCCATAATTTCAAGTTCCTTGTCCTAAAAGCTAAGTGGGCTTTATTTTCTTAGTCAGCATTTTTTTTTTTTAATGAATTGAAAAAGTGATCACTGACTAATGGAGAATAACTCAGGAATGAAATATGGAAATAACAGAAATTTGGATTAAAGGGGCCTTTAAACTGGCAGCCCATGGGTCAAATTCAACGACAAGGCAAGTTTGGCTTGGCAGGCAGTGCATTTTTAAAAAGTTAACTTAGTTGTCCACATTTTAAAAATCAAGAGATTTTTCACATGGATTTTAAATACTTGGAATATTGGGATGAATTTGGTACACATTTCCCCAGAGTAAATATCAACTCAAGTCACATAGTAATTGTCCCTTGGATGAGGGCCTGTGTTCTCCGGTTTGCCTCTGTCCCCACCATTTTCTGTTGCCCCCCACAGAGAGACCATGTTTCAGTTACCATATATCTTCTCAAGTGCAGTGACTTCCCCCTATAGAACTGAGTTAAGTGAAACGCTTGTTTCAACTGTTACATTACCTGCCTCGTCCACATGGACATTGGGATTTGTTCACTCCCTAATCTTATCTGAAGCTTTCATTTCAGAATTGGATAAACTGAGGCCCAAAGGAGGAAAAGAACATGCACAATTCCCATAACTGGTAGTGACAGAAATGTGATGAGCACTCAGGGTTCCTTGCTACCAGTCCAGCGGGGTCTTTCCATTCTGTAAATACATCACTTTGCTTGTGTCTATGACTCCAAGGGGTCTTATTCATGGGGGAATCATACACCAAACATGTTCTCATTCAAATCCACATGCTGCCATTGAAAACACGCAGCAAGTTGGGGCCCTACTTTGTGAATGCCTTGTGTGCTTTCCAGATACAGATAATGAGTCAGGCTTTCTGAGTGTGGGTGTCTCTACATAGGTCGATTGTTTCTTCATTCAAAACGTGTCCTTTGCCGTCTCCGAGTTTGTCTGATGTCTCCTGCACCCCTGCAGACGAGGCACAGGCATGCTGAGTGTTCTGGGACCTGAGGCTTCTGAATGGAAAAACCCATGTGTCTGGGCATTCTCACAAGCTAATGTTTGTACCAATAGCAACCTACCCACTGGAGCATGAATTAATGTTCTCTAGCAAATGCTCCGAGGAGCAACATGGCTTAGTTGAAGTAGTACCTATTGGGTTTAGGTATGTGACCTCAGGCAAGTCATATAATCTCTCTAGGCCTCAGTTTCCTCACCTATAAAACAAGGATAATAAAAATACCTCCATCAGTGAGCTCCTCTGAAGAGGAAAAGGTTAATTTTTCAAAATTGTCAGAACAGTGCTAGCACAGAGTAAGTACTAAATAGAAATGACATTCTGGTGAGTTATAGAAATGAAAACTGGAAACATCCCTTCTCTCCTTTGAGTGATGTGATCCTCTTTAACACATGTAATGGTTGCCAGGCCCATAGTAAACACTCAATACGTGTTGGCTTTAACATCAAGATTGCTTGGAGGAGTTTCAGAAAATTCAGATCCACCACAGACCTATGGAAGCAGAGAATCTAGTTGTGAGGCCTAATAATCTTTTTTTTTTTTTAAACGCTCCCCATGTGATTCTGATGACTAGCCAAGTTTGGAAACACTGATGTAGTTTCCTTATTCTTGAATATCTTTGGTGGTGGAGAACCCATACCTCTTAGGAGTGGGAGAACACACCCCTTCCACATTGCATGGTTATTTATATTGAGGTAAAACCTGTTTTCCTCTAGCTCTTACTTCTACCCCCTGGAGGCCACATAGAACATTTCAAATCTCTTTCCCATATGACAACTCCTCAGATATTTGCAGACAGCTGTCATGTCCCTCCTGAGCATTCTCTTTTGGACAAAATAGCCACATTCTCTCATGGCTCTTAAAAAAGTGTGGATGAACTGACTCTTCTAATTTGATATCAGGGAAAACTGAGCTGCAAGACCTCCAGTTATTCTTTGACTCTAAAGGACCAGAAAAATGAGGATGTTGAGACTCTAGGAGACAGGAGATACTGAATTAGAGATGGTGATACAACTTTTTTCCAGAGGATGGATTCTGCCTACTGCATGCAGGAAATCAGAGGTTCCTGAAATTCCTTGCACACTTGATATATTCAGTACACGAAGAAAAACCTTGGCTCAGATGCCAGCCAGGCCCATCTAGGTGTTGGTTCCATGGGTGTACACATAGCTAAAAATTCATTGTGACTCATTAAAGTTACCATATTTAATACTTCAAAAAATGTAAAAAAAATATGGCTGAGTCAAATTGCATGAAGACTGCAACAAATTTTCTCAAAAGAATTCACCTGACCAAGAGCATATCTTGGATACATCCAGTTCCATCTTGATTCAAATTCTCACTTCTCCCACTAAGCCCACAGAATGCCTGGGTGGGGTTCCAATTCCTTGTACAAACTGTGGGTGTAGGACATGATGTTGGAGAAAAGAGAAACCATCAGTTGAGAAATTCTGAGCAAGGATTTAGAGATTTCAGGCCCTAATGTGGGAAGCCAAAATTGGTGTTTAATTGTACATTCCCAGGTTTTGCTCCAAGAAGAAGAACTGGAGATAACTGAAACATGGTCTACATATATACCTTGTTTGGCTCAGATTTTTTGTGCCATCCCTAGAACCATGTAGACATCAAAACATCCACCAAATCACAACTTTACAAAGGTAATTCAATTCTTTGTTGTCAATAGAGGAAAGAGAATTATGGAATTTCCCCAAGGTAAATGACTTCACTGTATCTGATTACCAATGATCATAAATATTAGATTTTTGTCAATGTTTGGGAAAGAATTGTTCTAAAATTTCCATCATTACACTGGATAAACTAAGAGCTTTGGATACTGCTAATTCATGATCACCTATTCCAAAGGAATCATTTCCCAGATTGATAAGCGAGGGTTGGAGGAGGTAAATGTCTTAGCCAAGGTCACACAGATAGTTTGCAGCATTGCCCAGGTCTTCTGACTTCAAGCACAATGATCCTTGTTGCATTTAAAGTAGACTTTTCCTACCTGGGATTCCCACCAGTTGCAAATATGTGTTGGAAACAGAATTGACTGTAGTAGTGCTAGTGAGGAGAGCAGTTGTTCAGAGTGTCAGGACATGGGAAGAAGGCCAGGGAATGATGCAATATTACACTAGCAAGTGATGTCATAGCATGATTTCCTAAGTGATTTACATAAATGCAAGTTCTCAAAAAGCCCTGACCAATGCCAGCCAGTGGGAATGCAGGCATGGAGAACCAATGGCAAACAGGGGAGGGGAACATATAGGGAACCCAGATTTCCTTGCTCATCACTGTGACAAGCTTCACAGATTCCTCAGAAGCCTGAGAAAACTCCCTTCTGCCCCTCTAATCCAGTGCCTTCCCTCAGGCACATAAGCTTGAAAGAGCTTTGATTTTCTTCTCTATCTTTCTATTTACTACCACTGACATTCAGGCATTGCCCAGTGCTGCTGAGAGTGACTTCTGGTGTAGTGAAAGCGAGTTTAATAGTAAGACAGGCTACCCAAGAGCTTGACATTCTAAAAATTGGTCTGTCCTCCTCATTATAATTTAGAGCAAATTCTCTATTTTTAAAATTAGAAGCTATGATTTTTGGAGAATCAATCTTATGCAAATGTCATGAAAATATATTTGTTGAGTTTGGCGATGATTTAAGAAAGAAGACAGGTGGATATCAAATGCTAACACTTCAGTTTTGTTTTGATTCCAAACAGTGAAACATGTATTAATAAGGAAGTTTTGTTAAAATGTGTGTGTGTGTGTGTGTGTGTGTACGTGTTCACATATGTTAGTCTGGTTGGCAATGCAAGTTCATGAAAATATCTACTTAGACCAAACTCAGAAGAAACTGATAAGACTATGTTAGAAATAAGGAAATAGCTCAGAGTGTGCCAGCCTAGCTCACAGTCTCTCTCTCTCTCCATCTCTCGCTCCCTCCCTTTCTCTCTCCTCCTTCCTCCCTGTCCCTCCCCCTCCCCCACTGAAATGCAATTTAAGCTGAGCCAAAGACCCCATCACAAGCCACAGATCAAAGCAGTTCACAAAATGCTTAAGAATTTTGGATTTGGAGACTTTGCTCAACTGCAGAAGCTGCTTAGAGTGCCACAAAATCTCATCTCATGAAGCTTGAACCAAAAACAATCAACAAGACTCAACCTCTTCATCCCACACAGCATTAGTCTTGCTGGGAACAATCTGGACATCTGCACATTCTCAGCAATAATTCAAACTATTCCTCTTTCCCCATCATTGCCTCCATTTCCCCAAACACCCACTGGAATATCAGAATATCAGAAACTGCATTATTTGGAGCCATTGGGAGGAAATTGTAAATACCTTCTAGGCAGCAGGTCCTCCACAGCCCCGAATGGGTCATTACTTCTTCATTCTTCCTGCTGGTTTCATTATCACTTGTAGATTTAGTCCTGCACACACCTCTGGAATATAACCAGTAGTCCGTGCCCACTGCAATGGTCATTAAACTAAAAGCTGCGAAGGCTCCCACAGTGGTGATCAACATCTGGATACCTCTGTCACACATCCTCATAATTCTTCATGGTACTCTGGATGGCTGGGGGTTGGAGGGGTAGGTTCAATGCCAGAGGGGAAAATCACTCTGCAGCTGGGTAACCTAGGGCAGGCTCTTCCAAAAATTCGGGTCTCCTTTTGTCAGCATCCACAGAGACTTTAGGAAAGCTGGGATTTCCTGTCTGGAGCTCTCTCCGGTTCCCTGGGTCGCCTATGGCCCTTGGAAGGGTGCAGGCTCCAGGGGGTTGGTCCACATCACTGCTGCCTTCTGAGGATCCCTGGGTTCCTTTCATTCCTCAGGAGCTTGGTAAAGATGAGGGTCCGTGCAGGGCATGGCTCCGGAGCCTGGAGCTGCCAGCTCGGTTTGAGATGCGCCTGGCTCCTCACAGCCCCGGGAGACTCAAGGCAAAGAAATCCAGAGAGGTCTATGTGTGTGTGTGTGTGCGCGTGCGTGCGTGTGTGTGCGAGCGCGTGTGCTGGGGGTGAGGGCGGATGGCAAAAAATAGCACTGCTGGGAGGCGAGTCGCTGAGAAGAGTGTTCATTGCTTCCCCAGCCTCCCAGGAAAGCTCTCCGCCTGCTCCTGACACCCCCGCTCAAACTGGAGAAAAGACAGAGTCCTGGGGCTGGGGGCCGGGCGGTTTCATCGGAGGGCAAAGGTCCGCGGTGCTGAAGGGACAGCTCCCGCCTGTTGCCCCGCCTCCGTCTCCCCAACGCCCAGGCTCTAGGTCGGTGGTGCTGAAGGGACAGCTCCCCCACTGCCGCCGCTGTTGCACCACGGTCTTTCTAGCGCCCGGGCTAGAGACCTGGGGTGCTGAAGGGTCGGACCTCCCTCCCGCCGCCCTTCCCCCGTCCCTTTCCAGGCCAGCTAGCCGGCTCGGCTCTGCCTAGTCAATCCCACGCTCCGCGCAAAGTTTCCGGAGCCCACGGCAGTCAGCGCCCAGCTCGTCGGTGCTGCAGGACCACCTTGTTCCTCCGCTCCCGGAAGGGTTAAGGAAAGGGGAAGGGGAAAGAAGCCCGCAGCGCACTCTGGCGCGCTCTCAGCTCCCACCCAGCGCGGCGTTTCCCCCCCACCAATGAGCCAGGCAAGTTTGCCTTTTGCTGCGGGCGCCGCTGGAGCCCACTGGGGAAGACCGAGTCTTCTTAAAGGGACCGGCGACTCTGGGCGACGCATCTATGTCTCACTTGGGCGGGTAAAAAGTGTTGTCACAGGCACATCTGTGTATAGTCTGTCTCAGTTTGGTTCCCCAGAAAACAAACCAATATGTCTACCCTCCGTTCTCTGGAGCTCTGGTTTACACCGGAGACAACGTGCTCAGATCAGACCCGGAACTGTTCATATACATATGATCATGTATTCCTAAAAGACATCAGGAACTGAATGTATATAGACTCTGTTGTACATATATCACAGATTTGGGGCGACGGGGTGTGAGATATTGGTCTCTGAATACACCTCATATATTTTAACATTCTTACATTTGTGTGTGTGTGGGGGGGGTGGGGGTTGATGGATTCAAGGTGGGAGAGTCCATGAAAATGTCAGATTCTTTCCAAAGGTCCTTGGAACGTTCATTTGTTAACATCTTTTTCTAAGTTAGACCATGAAGCAGGTGAAGTTAGGTTTGCTTTCCTTGCTAGTCCAAAGTGCAAATGCCATTGCACACCTGAAAGTTAATGAAACTCTCCCTTTGGAAAATAGTCGATGTTGCAGAAGATCAGCACTTGACCATCTTTCTATTACTATGTATTCTGGCATATACATGAGCACACACTGAGTTGACTAAGGACAGTCCACAGAATGCCTTTATTATTCTTTTCCTATGGCATGATGGGAGGGATACCCAGAGGCCAGGTTTTGGGAATTGAGGCTGCTTGAGTTGTTTCTGAGATGTGTCCACTGTCAACTGTCATGTTTGAGTGTTATTTAACTGGACAAAAATATAATGGAAGGTAATTCCAGACACATATAGTCCCCTGGTGCCATCTCTGGCTATCCGTCTGGGCGCTTCTATGCAGATGACTGAGTAGTAGCAATATATTGAAGAGTTCTCAAATGTATCAACTTCTCGGTGACTTTGCTACTTTGTGTGTGTGTGTGTGTTAAGGTCACTTGAAGACTTGATTCTTGGTGTTAGATAAACATATCTGTGCATACATAGTTTTGAATATCCGGTCGTGGTGTTAAATGTTAACCTGTGCTGTGTTCAATTTAGTTATGAGTTCGAATGCCTGCAAATTTGTTGCACAAGAAAAGGATGTATGCAAATATATATGTACCTGTATGCAGTGTTGTGGGCCATGTGAATAGGTTTGCTGCAAATGCATAGCTGTGTGCATGGGTGGTACACAAGTTTGTGTATAGATATAGTGCATGTTTGTGCACCTGTATTCATTTAATCTATATGCATATATCATGGTTCACAAGCACTCTTTTATGGGCAGGAAGTAAAAATATGAAAAATCTGCCACATAACCAAAGTGGAACAAATAAACTCAGGTGCAGGACAGCAGCTCATCTTACCCCCAAAGAGCAATAGGAGACAATGGGGGAAGGTATCCAAGGCCTTCTATAAGTTACTCAATTTTTTTTCCTTTTTTTTTTTAAAGATTTTATTTATTTATTCATGAGAGACAGAGAGAGAGAGAGAGGCAGAGGGAGAAGCAGGCTCCCAAGGAGCAGAGAGCCCGATGCGGGACTCGATCCCAGGACCCTGGGATCATGACCTGAGCCGTAGGCAGACGCTTAACCATCTGAGCCACTCAGGCACCCAATTTTTTTTCTTAAAAAAGAAAATTTGCTGGGCGCCTGGGTGGCTCAATTGGTTAAGCAACTGCCTTCGGCTCAGGTCATGATCCTGGAGTCAAGAGATAGAGTCCCGTATCAGGCTCCCTGCTCAGCGGGGGTCTGCTTCTCCCTCTGACCCTCCCCCATCTCGTGCTCTCTCTCTCATTCTCTCACTCAAATAAATAAATAAAATCTTTAAAAAAAAAAAGAAAATTTGCTTCTTATTAAAATGTTCTGCTTTGACCTTTCTTTTTTTAAGGAAAAAACTATCTGTAACTTGGAGGTGAAGTTGGTCCTTCCTGGGAGGGGTTATTAAATTTGTGAAATTTTCCTTCCCTCCTCTTAGAAACTTAAATAATATAAAATAATTTTAAAATGACCAAAACAGCCATTCTAGGATCTGTTTCTTTCTTCCCTTACTCCAGTAAGGAAGAGAAAGTTCTTTTCTCAAAGCAGGACCATGTAGATGGAAGGTCAATGGGCTTTGGGCTTAGGGAGAGTATGCTCCAGTCACTCCACTCACCAGATCCGCAGTAAAATGAGAGCAGCTTCAGCTCCACTCCACAACTCTGTGATATAAAGCCAGACAGACAAGGTGTTGTACCCAGGAGGTCCAGCACAAGGAATTGGGTAACCAAGTAGGATAACGTGGAGTATGGAGAGGAGGGACAGGAGCCCAGGCAGGTGGAAGTGATAGTTGTAGGTCAGGATGTAGACAGTTTTTCTGAAGGAGAGAAAGGGACATCTGTTATAAGACGGAACTTTATACCGAGCCTTTGGCTTGGTGAGGCAGGATCACCCTTTGCAACTTCTGCTCAGGGCCAAAGCTGATCACAGAATGTGGGAAGTCCTGAGCCTGCATTTGGAGCAAGTCAGAACACCTGTCTGGAGTGGGAGTGCGGAGGTAGGGAGGCCTTCAGTTAGTTCCCCAGGATGACTCCCCACTTACTAGGGGGGTGACCTCATCCTTTCATTCAATTGAATGTGTAGGCGTATATACAGGGGTGTGTGGAATCGGCTTCTAAGCCTAGATTTAATTGCTCATTTCTACCACTAGAGGGCTCTTTCACCAGATCAATCAGGGACCCAAGAGATTCAAAGCACTCTCTCTTCTTACGATGATGGAGCCAGGCCCTTTCTGTTTGCTGGTGATCCTTTCTGATCCTACTTCTGTGACGGGAGATTGGGAGGCATTGAAGTGGCTTAAAACTAATGTTTAGGGCGCCTGGGTGGCTCAGTTGGTTAAGCGACTGCCTACGGCTCAGGTCATGATCCTGGAGTCCCAGGATCGAGTCCCGCATCGGGCTCCCTGCTCGGCAGGGAGCCTGCTTCTCCCTCTGACCCTCCCCCCTCTCATGTGCTCTCTGTCTCTCTCATTCTCTCTGTCTCAAATAAAGAAATAAAATCTTAAAAAAAAAAAAACAAAAAACCCCCCAAAAAACCCCTAATGTTTAATTCTCTTATTAAGGCTGCTTCTTCTTTTTTTTTTTTTTTTTTTGTATTGGACTCTTTAGTGGAATAGCTAGCATGGAATACCTGCTTTTTTTTCTGTGTATCCTTTTATATATTGGAGTCACCCTCAACACAGGAGGGGTCCCTGAAAGTGGTTGTGTCATTCAGGAAGGAGTGTGGACACTTGTTTCAATTCAATACATGCTTCTCAAGTGCCCACTATGTGCAAGGCTTAGCACTTTGGAGAACATGAAGATATGGTTCCTATCCCCCAAGGAGCCCATTCTATAGTAGGGGGTCTCTCGTTACTACATTTGGCTGTAAACAGTGGAAACTCACTGGAGCTGGTTTAAGAAATTGGGGGGGTTCGTATAAGGATATGGTGGTGTTTTAAGGAATCTTAGGGCAAAGACACAATCAGGCCTCAGCAAGGAGTTGAAATAAAAGCCATCAGGAGTCTTAGCACTTCATTTTTCATCTCTGCCTCTTTTTTCTTTTCTTTTTTTTTTTTTTTTTGTTGTTGAGAAAAATTGTTTTGCCTGAGCACCTGGGTGGCTCAGTTTGTTGAGTGTCTGACTCTTGATTTTGGCTCAGGTCAGGCATGATCTCAGGGTTGTGAGATCGAGCCCCGGGTCAGACTGGCTGAGACCCTCTCCCTCTGCCCCTCCCCCTGCTCTCTCTCTATGGAATTGATAAATAAATCTTTAAAAAGAGAAAAATTGTTTTGCCTTCTCTATTCTTCAATCTTCAAGATAAAAACCTGCATTTTGAGTTTTTACATCATCTCTACTGAAGTGGGAAGATTTAGTTCCAATTCCAAATTTCCAGGAGAGCAAAGGATTGGTCTAGCTTGTGTCATGTGCCATTTCTTGGCCCACCCAGCTGTGGTCATGGAGACAAGGTCATGTGGTACAAACGTGGCTATCAGGACCAGCCACTGTGAACTGAGGAAGGGAGGAAAAGAAAGTTCTCTGAGTAGGAGGAATTTCTGTGCCATCATTTTTTTTTTTAAGATTTTATTTATTTATTTGACAGAGAGAGAGATAGCGAGAGAGGGAACACAAGCAGGGGGAGTGGGAGAGGGAGAAGCAGGCTCCCTGCGGAGCAGGGAGCCCGATGTGGGGCTCAATCCCAGGACCCCGGGATCATGCCCTGAGCCGAAGGCAGACGCTTAACGACTGAGCCACGCAGGCGCCCCTTCGTGCCATC